GGAAAGGCATTCAAATGGTAATTGAGAGGATAGAATCAGATAAGGCGCAAAGATAGTCTCTAATCTTCATCGACAGGGCCATTTCGACAGATCGTTGTAGATAGTATATCGTGGATCCAATACATAGACAAGATAATTTTCTATTTTAATTTAAAAAAAATATAATGATTTCCGCCAAGGACACAGAATTTCACTGATATTGTATAACCCACCAAGTTGCGTGACCCTCTACGGTACCGGATACGGTATAGGATTCTGGGGTTGAACCCCCCCAAGTAACTAGACTTCCGGGGCCAAACTAAGCAGACTAAAGTGGTCAATGAAGCGGTGAGTATATCCAACCAAAATCTATAGGAAAATGCATAAATGCGGACTGGCAGCATTGGCCTATCGTACTCGATTTAGTCCGTCGTACCACATTTTGCTCAGAATGACCCACTTTTCAAAACCGAACAGCCTGGACTAAGCTCAGATCTCGGAAACTTTTTATATGCAATAGATGAGAGAGCATATCTTTCGTACTCCAGAGTTTCTACAGTGGTGTCGAATTAGGTAGGCGGTTCGGCTTGCCAGGTGAATACTGCTTCCTTTAATTTCTCATTGGTTTTGATTGTCCTTCGACCGTCCAATCCCCATTGATCTATAGAATTAAGGCCAGGAACCTGAGCCTTTGCCCTGGGGCAGTGCAATGCGGTAAAGTGGACCCTGGAAGTGATTCACACTTACGCTTTTGCATGTATTCTACACGTGGAGTAGTTCACACTACTACATAAGCACATGTTCCATTGGAATTCCAATATGCATCTGATAATTGATCTCACTGGTCTCTGTGAACAATCTAAGAAGTATTACTCTATTTAAGTATAGGATTTATGCTCGGTTCTCCATCTCCTACTACAGAAGTCTGCCATTTCTCTCCTCGGACACCTTCCAACCCTAGGATAGTGAAATACCATAGATCCACCTTGGTCGTTCACACTGCTCCTTGATCGAACATCTGCCTACGATTTCACTATACCCTCAAAGATGTCGAATACTTCTCCTCCACCAAATACCAGCTCATTCCATTCTGTATTCTCTGATGGCCTTGGGCACAATCCTATAAATCCATTGAGGCAGAACAACCTCGGGCTCCTTGCGAGTAATTTCAACGTGTGGCCATTGCCTCTCAATTCAGCGACCATGCCAGGTAACCTGTTTCACTACCCACCATGGCAACCATTGCACGAGGACTCCGTCGCTCCCCAATCCACTGTATACCACGACTTCGACATGGAGACCAATTTGCGGATGCCGACAAGCTTTCAATCCGATCAAGTCGCCACCGCTGGATATTCGTATGATCATTTACCCAGCAACACAACAATAACCCCTGTCGCCATACCAGTTGAACACCAGCCTAGGGAGGCACAGCAGGAGACCCGTGCGAAGCATATTGAAGAAAGGTAAGGCAGCCCCAGCGCTGTGCCAGAGGGTCATGACCGTATTCCTAACTCATCTATAGTGGAAAGAATTACCGACCTGTGCAGATGTGTAAATGGGAGGGCTGTACGTCCACAAAGATTTTCAACCGCGAGGCCGACCTTGTGCGGCATGTCCGGACCATCCATATTGCCCCTCGGTCTTATAGGTGCAATGTTGATGGCTGCTTCAGGTCCTTCAATAGGGGTGATAACCTGAAGGAGCATATGCTCAGGGTTCATGATTGTGATTATTAGCGAAAGAGCTTTACCTGGTGGAAAACTGTTATTTATGATTTGTTATATTTTCGGGATGTCTCTGTCTCTTGCTACTTTGCGACGACCTTGTTTTTTAACTTAGTGATTTCGGGGCTATATCGTATTTTCACTAGCACTTTTAGAATAATAGATCTGAATTTCGTCAGTACCAACTAGACCTTCATGATGTTGAATGTTTGGATCTTTGCGGTTTCGAAGTACATTATTTCTGAAAGGTCGCTCCGGAATTGTTTCGACACACCTAAACCCAAAGTAGATGAAGATTTGCAATGCAACCAACCTTACAACCGTGAGAGGCATCCTTGCCCATTGTAAATGTAGAGTAAGATGAACTATCGTGTCAATGTACTACCAAAATCTCCACAAAGTGTGACACCGGATATTGATATCTTCTTCCAATTGGAGGATGAAACCCACCGGCTCCATGGTACAATTGCCAGTGATTATAATACGGTTATGACTATAGTCCCTCTGCGTAAGAATGACAAATGTAGAAGTGTGTTCGGAGCGAAATGTTTCTGTTCTCTGCATGATGATGGGGTTGTCGGCTGTCGTACGAGCACGGCCATATAGACGGGCTGGTGTGTAACTGCCGACATGAATAATGAGGGTAGAAGCCTTTCATTGGGAAATAGAAATTCGGGTTCCAGGAGTCCATACTCGTGTTACTCTGTGGTCGAGTTGAGGTTGGAATCCTGTACACAGCAATTCCTATCGATGGAGTGACGTGTAGCACGTGCTCTAGAATCATTCGGCTTCTTTAACCTCTTGCCTGGCTGGGTTCTTGGGAAATACAGGCGTATAAGGCCATCGGCATAGATTATAGTGATTTGAGCTCTAATGGAATCGATCTCCAGAAGTCTCTACGATTATCATAAACTGTTTCTTTCGTGGTGTCAACATTTTACAACCAATGATCATGTCGAGTCGGCAGGCAACTCTACATGATACCTACTATTGGCTACTAGGGTGCCGTTAGCGTGCATAGCACATATTTGCTGAATGCCTAGAGGGATTACGTTGCTGAGCTCCAAGGTTCTGCGCTCGTAGGTCCATGCAGCTATCCGATGGATGTGCATACATACGGCGTACATACCACTTTTACGACGTCGTCTGCAGAGTCATGTGACCACCAGCCCAATGTTGCCCAATAACATGACATAGTGAAGATTCAAAATTTCATATGGTATGGGTTGGTCAAGTAGTCTTAGCCCATTAATAACTTGCGGTGACGGCCCAGATACCTAGGGATTAACCTGGGGTTGACCTCTTACTGGCTGCTCTCTTCCCGCAACGGGTAGTGATGAGTTGTTGGACCTTTTAATTACTTATGCTTCACGAAATAGTTAGTTATTATTGGTTGACATTCTGAACCACGGTTCAGAATGGGAGGTTTGAAAATAGTTAGTATTGAAGGCATCTGAAGATCTAGCCCTCATTAGTGGAGGAACGACTGTGTTTAAAAATGATATTCGTATTTACAATATATGCTTTCTTAACTGGTAAATGTAAGTATTTACGCGGGTCACAAATGGCCCGCGCCTTATATCATAATGAAGGGTTTGCTGTGGGAGCCTGATGTGTGCTGCCCGGATATACAACCCTCATACAATGATTGTTCGTGGTCTAACTCTGTTCACATCGTTTCTCAATTGATAGGTTGTTGCTTGCATAACAGGGGAAGAAGTGGGTCCGCGTTCCCGCAGGATACACGCAAGTCTCTATTGGCGCGCGAGAACCGAAAGAGCCTTACGTGAAGGGAACCTTGAAACAAGGCCACCGTGGCTGTATAGAGCCAATCCGGACAGCTGAAGTGAAACGTTACACTATCCTCCAGCCTTCCTAATACACACTTTGGCAGTTGCTAGGAGCCGGGTGCAACATGCAGGCACCGAAGGAAGAGAGTTGTATGTCACACCAGTAGGCACAGGCTTTCTGTTGAAGGATGGGCTGTGCATGCATGGCATGACTTCGACATCTTGTTTTATCACCTTTGTTCAGACTCGAGCGTTTATAGTCTGATAGCTTCCCACTACTGGCTGTCATAACACAGTTCTCATTATTGCCAGTTGTACTTGCTCAGAGAGATAGTGGTCATCTGTCGATCAGCATAGTCTTATCTTTTTCTTCTTCCCATGCAACCATTCAAATACTTATCCAATTCTCTAACGCCACATATTACTATCAGGCTTTGACAATGTCCACTGGTCGAAAGTCCTCAGTCTCTCTGTCCTCAAACACCTTATCAACTCCTAGCCATAACCCAGGTTCTATCAGTCTATCATTTTTGGACAGTCATACTGACCTGTTGCCGGAAGACACTGAGAAAGGGCTCTGGCCATATCAAGGATGGCCGGAGCCACACACCATACTCCACAGCCCTTCCTTGCAATCCCACGCTACATTAGATGACTTGTCTATGACCAGTTGTACCGAAATGGGACGTGAAGTGGAGTTTGACTTCAAGTCTTTCTTTGACGATGACATGAGATCCAGCCAGTCGGCCCTGGGCTCAGACGTTTACCGCGAATTTCAAACTCAGGATATAGTCCTGGAGAATTTCAGCTGGCTTTGTCAACGAAATATTGCCTCTGCTGTTTTCGAGGGTCACCAGGATAACCTCCATCCCGACAGCCTTCTGAATGACCCGTTCATTTCAATGCGCTCCGCTACGCGAGATATCTTTGGAGCTGAGATTCATGCCATCAATCCCATGGGCAGAAGGTTCAACAGAAATCCTACACCCGTACTCTAACATTCCACGCTAATGAGAAAATAGCAGAAAAAATCCCATCGCGACCTTAGATGTGAATGGGAAGGGTGCAATAACAGCAGGCAGTTTAACCGTCCCGCCGAATTGAGGAGACATGTTAGAACTATTCATCTTTTCCCGAAGGCCTATAAATGCACTTACGCTGGTTGTCGCCATCTTTCCAATAGGAAGGATAACTTGAAAGAACACATGATCAGGAAACATAGGATGCCTTTTTGAGAGTCAGGTTTCTCTCAAGTTCTTTTTTCTCTGTTTGATTGAGCCTAAGTCTTTTGTGTGCTGCTCACAGAAAGAACTTAACGGAATGACTCTATACATTATTAGCACAATAAGATGTAGAATTGAAAGGTTGATCCGTTACTTGGATTGGCAGTACTCATTGCATACATACGCAAAATAATTCCATTGAGAGAATGTGGAAGGTTAGTGCTAACAATAAACACAACTGTCGAATTGCTTAAATAACCATGCGCCCCTCACCTCCAGCATCCTTTTTTTTCCACAGTCTTTTTTCACAACTTTAAACCACGCAAAAAGAAGTGGAACAAGAATACTACTAACAAAGTCGATCGTACTATGCTCCCAGACTACAGGACATGGATCTTGAACTTCTCATAGGAACCGACGTAGCTCTGGCAGTTGACAGTTCCAGCGCCACTCGGTCCGCCCTGGCCGGTGACATTCTCCATGCGAAGATAGGCGTTCGGGAACTGCACAGAAACAATGGCTTTGGTACCATCGCTCTGGTTCTCGAAGCGGAACTTCTCCCAAGAGTGGTCGCCCCACCTGATAGTCTTGAGTCAGTATCGATAAATCCAGAATACAACAGGGGATACGCACTGGCAGTTAACTTTTCCGGCACCCTGGGGGTAGGTGTCTCCAGATTTGATGTCGGAGCCGTCCATGCGGAGGTAGACGTTCGGGAAGGCAGAGGAGAGGATAGAGAAGGTGTTGTCATCAGGGTGGTTCACGATGATGAGGGTCTCGTACGAGGCAACACGGTTCTGGACATTGACAGTACCACCGCCAGAGCCGGAGTACTCGGTGACTCCCCGTCCGTCGATGCGGAGGTAGGATCCGGGGAACTTCTGGGACTCGATGCTGACACGCAGCATGTTGCTAGTGGAACCGGAAGACATGATTCAGGTTGGAAGGCTAGATTATGCTTGGTAGAGATCTGAATGCTATAGAAATGCTCGAGTGGGCAAGGCTTATGTTCTACTAGATGATAAGGACTCTTAATACCGGGTTCAACGTCTCTATTTATGTTCAAGAAAGCCGCTACTAGCCATATATGATATCAACAACAGTGCAGTGGGCTGACGTGGATCATACAACTGCTGTGGTCAGTGGCGTATCCTTCTTCTTCTACTGCTGACGGACACCATGCAATTGTAAGGGTCTGGCTAACTTTTCCTTTGAATCTGAGACGCGCCTTGTTCTTACTCCGCGATTTTACCCTTTGATGGTACCAGAAGTCCAAGATTGATCACCCAAGAACGTATATCATATGAGCATAGGACTCTGGTTCCCCACTTATAGAGGGTCTCGATTCTTTCACATTGATCCGATTCTCCCTCGGCACTCCAATAGACTGTAACTTCTCCAACCGCACCTTATACTTCCGACAAATTGAAATTGAAACGGCTGAGAAGCGACAACATCAGGTTTACAACACTAACACATGAAATTTGGATTATGAATGTCATGAGACTCTGGATGGTGGAGATCCAATGAAGCGCGCGGGGCAATAAGTAGGGTTGCGACAGTATTACACCACATTGGCACATTGGATGCCCTTGCGTTCGGTCTCCTGTCGGTTGCGGAATGTGGGGATATAGGTTCCGCCCCCGCCGTTCGGGAGTTCCGTGGATAGCGTCAACCTAGACGGGGAGTATGGCATGTCATATGCTGTTATAGAATGTCAAATGGGAAGCGAGCGTACTGTTTGGGAGTGGGATTACTGGAGAGATTTTCCGTTTGTCGTCCGTTAGGCTCCACCTTTGCTAGGTTAACCCATGCAAACGGAGGGAATCGCCCTAGGCGTGGTTCTATTGACAGCAAGGGTTGTTGAGGCGTAGCTAATGCTCGGCTTTTGCAAATGTACTCTTCGCTCGATGGGGAAAGACCTGGAGGATCGAGTTCTGACCTTGTGACAAGGCAGCAATGGGAACGCGTACAGATTCGCTTGTTTATTTATTGTTGAGATAAATACATTATCACTAATCCCCGGGTTTGAACCAAATCACGGATCAACACTCATGGGTAGCTATTTTGGGGACACTATATTCATAGAACTACTAATATCATTCCAGTATTATCCAGACTGCTACCATTGAGTATCCAGAAAGATAAAAATAAAAAATAGAAATGAGAAACGAGAAACGAGAAAACCATGAACACCAATCCCATGTATCATGATATCTACTATGCTGTTGCAGTGCAATTTTGGAGCTGTGCAATGCGAGACTACCTGAACATTATCTCAGACTATTTCTAGCACCAGTCGTTGTGAGATTTGTTCAGTGCTGCCTGCGGCAATAGATATGTTATAAATGTAGACTGCTCATTACTTGCCGGATTGTATAATATCGCACATTTTTCCCCAAGCGACTAGAATACCCCGACAGTAGTTATATGGTTAAGTCTAATTCAGGGTCTATTATAAGGGAAGTTTACAACTTCCTCAGGATATAAGCATTAAACCTTACGGCTTGGGATTTGTGGGTAGGTGATATGGTTCCATCTTCCCATAAATTAAGTATCAGGGAGGAAAAAGTTCACGGGGGAAGTTCCGAAGGAAAGAAGACAAGGAACTTCACTCGCAAATAGGTGAAATAATTGATAGCGCACAGAAAGACCATAGAGTAATATGCTGAAAGTATATTGCATGGAGGCTTCTGGCGCGGAAACGAGCAGGGAAAGCTGTGTAGTTGTCCTTATCGACGCAAACCCTTAACAGTGTTGTGATACCAAGCTCTCTTGGCTGTATAACCAGCTTTTTTTTTTTAACGAATACACTATACCAAGCTGACTGATATTTGTTAATATCTAGGTAGAACCATCGTACATTGAAATGAGGCCGCGGAGCCACGACTCTCTGGATTCATTGGCCTGCATAGCCAGAAGCTCGTCGCTAGAGACCTGAACCTCTAAAAATTGATGTCCATCACACAACCGGATTTGGAGCTTCTCCTGGTAGTACTGGTCCACACACGGGCTACAGAGATCGATATCGGGACAGGTTTGACATACAAATCGTCCTTCTGTGACTGTCGGATTCTCTTTACAAAGATCGCACACGGCCGGGGCACCGTCTGGAACATTCGCATCGTACAAAAATGCCGTGCGGGCCGCGGAGACATCGTTCATGTAGAGCAGGCACTTTCCCAGCCGGTACGAGGCCGACTTCCCCTCCCTTAGGGCTCGGGTGGCAAGCATGGTGATGCCCTCCCTCAGGGCCGATATCCGTTTCTCTTCATCGAGTGAAGGAGCCGACAGGGGACCATGTCCAATTAGCTTGTCCAGCGTCGGCGGATGTCGAACGGCCCAGTCGATGGAGGATCGACCGAACCAGTCCAGTTGCAACCGATCCGCCCCCAAGGACAACAGGAACTCGACGAGATCAGTCTCTCCAGCCGCCGCGGCCGCGTGCAGGGCGGACGATCCATCATAGCACGCCGTCACATCCACGCCGTTTTCCACTATCAACTCGATAATGCCTCGGTGACCCTTGCCCGCGGCCTTAGTCAAGACGGTTCCTCCGCACCAGCATGGGCGGAGCCAATCAAGCTTCTCGGCTTCAGCAGCCTGTAGAAGAACCCGAAATGCATCGACACTTCCCTGGACGGCGGCGTAGTGCAGGGCCGTATGACCTCCGTCGCTATGGACGGCGCCTACTTCGGCGCCAGCATCCACCAGCAGTTGTAGGAGGTCTTCCTGGCCAGTCCAGGCAGCGAAATGCAGCGGCGTCCGTCCGTCCCCTGAGGAGACGGATATCTCTGCACCCATCTCCAGAAGCAGGCGGGCGAGTGCAGTACGTCCGGCAAGGGCGGCGGCCAGATGAAGGGCCGTGTATCCCGACGCATCCAGGGCATTGATGGCGGCGCCTGCACGACATAGCGAGGGGATGACATCAGGATTGTCACCCACTACGGCCATATGTAGGACGGTTCGATCATCCGGTGCCAGCGCGCCAACGGCAGCACCATGCGCGAGCAGTGATTCCACGATCTCGATCGTCCCACAGTACGCGGCTAGGCGGAGGGCGTTGTGCCCGTCCTCTTCGACCAGATTCACATCGGCTCCGGCTTCCAGCAGCAACTGCGTGACGGCGGCTCGTTGATAGATCACCGCAGTCAATAAGGCGGTTTTTTCCGCCTCCCCGCGCACGTCCACCGGGATTCCCCGATCCAGCAAGAATTTTACCACCTCCACACTGCCCGCGGCGGCTGCGTGGTGGATGGCCATATCTCCCTGTTCATCGACGGCGGCGATATCGGCGCCGTGCTGGAGCAGGAGCAGGACCGCATCCAGGTGTCCGTGTGATGCCGCGATATGCAACGGGAGCAGGTTCCCCGTGCGAAGGAGATGCGCGTCAGCGTCGAACTCTAACAGGAGGCTAATCATTTCGCACTGTCCCTGATGCGAGGCCAAGCATAGCTTGAAGTTGATCGCCTCGTGGATCATGGGGAAGGCGGGATGGTCCCGGGCGATGCTGGCGCCAGCCTCGAGAAGAATCCTAGCCACTGATTGATGCCCTCCCATCACTGCATCCACCAAGGCGGATCCCCACTCCCAGTTCTCATTCGATGGGGTGGTCACATTCCCAGCGCCGGACGAGAGAAGTCGGCGAAGGACCAGTTCCTGGTCATGGGCCACTGCCCATTGGAGAGGTGTGTGACCTTCCGTGTCGGGCAGGGAGACGGGCACGCCGGCTTCCAGCAAGACCGCGACAACCTGCTCTTGCCCTGCGGCCGTGGCAGCATGAATGGCAGCTCGGCCATCGATGAGTCTCGCGGGGTCGGGGTCTCGCCCCACGAGCTTCTGGGCGCAGGCGACTTGGCCCTGTTTCGCCGCCCAGATCAAGGGCGTGTCGCCATCGTTCCGAATCAGCGTGGCCGCCCGGCCATACAACTCCTGCGACAGGAGCTCATGAAAACGTTGAGCTGTCCGGATGAGGCCATTGAGGTCGGAGACGCTGAGATGCGATGCCACCTCCAGGATGATTTCTCCGGGTTGGTAGACAAAGCGTGGGGTACTAGACGATGCCATGGCAGTATGAAGGTTGCGAAGGTGAAAAAGAGCCACGTTTATCACCCGATAAAGAACACAGAATAGGGAGGGTGCACAGAGTGTGAATACGAGCTGTGGATCTCATTCTAAGGCTGCCATTTGCTCCCCACCTAGAGTTAGAATAATGATCGACATGTCCGACTGGGCGGGTCGATATCTCGGGAAAGCTCAGGTATAGAATCAGATCGGGCTCTACAACAAGTAATCAGCTTGATTATCCCAAACATGGTAAGAATGATAATAATAACTTCAATAGAGGCACTGACTCGCTAATTCACCGGTCAGTTAAGTAATGAATCACGGCGAGAATGGCTTTTGATTGGAATACGTCCAAGCTCCTATACAGGTCTCCCTCCTCACTTTGAGAAGATAAGCCGTTCGTGTCCCGAATTGTTTTCCTGTTCCATTGCAGGAATATACATTGTAGGATTCAATATGGTAATCATTCACTCTTCCACTCTTCATATCTTAGCCAACAATATAATGTAAGGAGACCCGCCAAAAAGGATCCTATTCCAGCACCGGTTGACCCATCGTGAGTTATGACGCTGTACAGAGCAACGAATATGCCAAAAATAAGCATAAGGAGCAAGACAACAAAGACAACGAGACGTTTGTTCCATCCTTCGATGATATGTATTCCCCAGCCAAGGCACTCTTGACTTTCATCCCAAGTGAGCATATCTCCTCGTTTCTTGGGAAATCTATTTAACCAGAAACTACCGAGATGGGGGCCTGGTTTAAGAAGGTCATGCAGTGGAATGCGAAGGATCTTTACCTTCAAAGGAACCGGCCGGTACTCATAGGACTTCTTAACTAGCACTTCTTCATCTCCAGGGATCGCTGGCTTCGCCACAATGTCAGCGCAGATATCAGTGCCAGCTGGGATTAGTTGAAACTATATTAAATCAGTAGTTGAACTATAGTATTTGGCTGCATCCATTTACCTGAACGAACTCCGCCTTCTTGGGAATAAAGATTCTACAGCTTTCAAGGCGTTTTCCTAGCCAAGCAGGAAATTGTATGTGTCTTGGAGCAGGGATGCATAGAATTCTCAAGATCCAGTTGGGTATTCGAATGTCGTTTGGAAATACCATCCCTAGGTTCCATTGCTGGTTTCGCCTCATTCTAGAATACTCGCTTTGGATGTCTTGGAAGAGGTATTGATCGTTTGTCATGGATGAGACTTCAATGTGCTCCATTAGTGCAAGATCTCGCCTTGTGTTCACGCAGAGCAACAGGTATTTTGGTTCCGATGTGCGATTTGACTTCGTTAGACGCTGAACTGAGGTAGTATCTAACCCCCCATTGTGTTCATTCGAACGGAGCTGCGGCAAGCTTTGGATTGGCCGTCTTCGTTGGTCGTGAGACTGAGAAGAGGGAGAGATTCGCGCTGGCTGCGGAGAGGATGGAGGGCTTGATGAAACAGTCTGAGCATTGCTTCGCAGGCGAACAGTTCTGGCGTCGGCATTTAAGTGTTCCTGCAACTCTGCTGCCCCTCCTGGAGCCATTTCCACAGCATCCAAATAACATAGGTCACCGCAGCCCTAAGAGTCTATGAGACATTGCTTCAGATACGGATAATAAAACGCAAACTGACACAGGTATACGTGACTCTCTGCGCACCCTTGGGCAGAGGTTCTAAGATTCGCATAAGTTTATACCAACATAAGGCCCGCAATGTAGGCCAAAATGACCCGACTCCTTGCGAGCGTGAAGATTTAGGCAATTCCTCTGGTACTACGTCATGGTGAGAGCCTGACATCGATTTGAGAGGCGGCTTGTTTGGAGGGTCTATGTTATTCCTCAGGTCTTCCGCGCCTGTCAAAACGAGTTCTTAGTTGCTCCCTATCATTGACGCCAGTGACTTGGGATTCGAAACCTGTTTCAACTATACCAGGTCGGTGGCTTGTCGGTTGTTTACGGCCCAACGACAAAAGCCTTGTAATAGACATACTAACATCCGACACACTACGGGAAATGGCGGCCCGACGCTGGGATAACCGGTCGCTAGAGCTAGTAGCTTGTCGCAACGCTTGTTGTCGTCCACGTTGCAGGATCCGCACGACGTCCAGGAAAGCCGCCTCAACATTGATGTTGTTCTTGGCCGAGGCTTCGACGAATCTGCAACCGAGCTCGCGAGCCAAGGCGTATCCCTCTTCCACTGATACCGTACGCCCCGTATCTATATCGCACTTATTGCCTACCAGTATGATAGGCATAGGCGGTTGAAGGCTGGTGGCGGATGAGGCCTGGCGAGCTGATGATGTGAACGGCTCCTTAAGGCGCTGTATATGGTGATGCAACTCCTTGATGCGTATAAATGAAGAGCGAGAGGAGATGCTGTACACTAGAACGAAGCCCTCACCATTGCGGATCCATTGGTCTATCAGCGCTGTTTGTTTCATTGCACCACCTGTATCGAGAACGTCCATCATGCAGGACTGGCCGTCAACGACGACTTGCTGGCGAAACTGATCTTCCGTCGTCGGGTCGTACTGACACACTTGGTGTCAGTGGGAGTTTGTTTATTGATCTGGAGAGATGATGGGGTCCTTCTCCATATGTCCCATGGAGGACTTACAGTCTCGACAAAGAATCTCAGCAACATTTGCATCATCAAAGCGGTCTTTCCAACACCACCGTCTCCAAGCATCACCAGCTTATACATCACCATGCGGCTCGCCATACTTGCCAAAATGTCGTCTACGGAGCGACAGAGGGGGTTGAGAAAAAGTTCTTTTGCATTCTGCACTCATAAAAGAGGACTCTGATTGATCGCATCTCAGCCGCAGCTGCGGCCACGTATGAAAGCAGACAGTTTCCACTAATCCTGTTTCGGGAATTGCTGCAGACATCTGGCACGCTGACTGGTTAGCCTCCGTGATCTGCTATGCAAGAGAGCCGTGGCAGAACTATCATGGGCCAATCCTGCTTCATAGAATTTACGAGCTAAGGTGGGTACTCGGTCCGGCCGCGCGACGGGAGAACAGCTTCCGTCGCTGGCTTAGGAGCCACTCAACTTCTGCTACTTTTCTTTACGTCGCTGTTTATTGCGTTCATTGGCTACTGTTGTGGTCTAAGCGATAGAGATGAGAGTCGCTGTCATCAATGGAAGCGGCTTCGCAACATAAATGGAAGCACCTTCACCTGGCCACATGTTAGCTGAAAGTTTACCACCAGTATATAGACCATGCCATCGTGACATGTGAATTCAATCGCTAATTTGTCTCTTTATGCTTCGCATGCAGTCGACAACTTACCCTAGTACGCCACAGTGTGGTGTCTACTCCTTTTTTCGTATTGTTCTTATAGAAGAAGTCAGTCTATCATTGTCGCTCTATGTCGTTCGTCATTGTAAAACTGTATACCACCAGCAATCCTCTATAGTGCAGAAGGGTATATAATTAGATAATATACAGGTCGTGTTTATAATCCCGATAGCTCCATAGATGCTCGCTCACGCATCTCACAAACTGATCTCAACAGGAACTTCAATTTTTGCAGCGCGCCCTCCAGCAGCCTTTTCTGTGCAATAAGATATAAGAAGCTCCAAGATATAGATGCGAGAGATGAAACAGGAGTGAAAACTTGGGACAAGGTCTTCATTCTTTGGAATGGAAATTGGAACAACGATCGATGCGGCATACGACGCTTCCTCATTGGTGGAGATAGACTGATAACTCGGCTGGGAAGATGAAATACTAGTACTTGGTGATTGTATCTTGGCCCATTGCGTTGACGCAATATCGATTGTTGGAAGCGTCAGAGATTGAACGTGGTTTCCTCGGGCTAAATCGGTGCTTTTGTCCTCAGTGAAAGACGGATACCGCTCCTGCAGCCCTGCGTGGAAGGATGTTACCGAGTTCAGCTTGGGATACGCCTTTCGCAGGCGAGGGGGAGGTTGTGTCCCAACTGCAGTGAATCTAAGGTCTAGTTTTATCGAGGTGTTGACCTGGTCGACGGCATCAATTCGACGGAAGGGAAGTCGTATGGGCTCAGTCGGTGAAGTTAGGATAGTCAAGTGGCCAGAACATTTCCCTCTCCAGCCACGTCTAATTCTGACTACTCGTCGAGATTTGAGCGCGTTGATGGCGATATCGCTGGAGCTGCCGAATGTACCGGAGGGAAGTATCTTGACGGGTTGAACAACGTTGGCCAAGCTCTTTTTCGGGGATTCCTTTCCGCAGAATGGTTTCGGTATAACCACACGGACGATGTATTTTATAGAAAAGCACTCTGTGTCGGTCTCCTTGCACATTGAAGGTGGTAGCCTGGTGTGAGTATTTTGGAGACCTCCATCATCCGCTTTATGATCGCATGCCGTGAGCGGCAGGTTCTCCGGCACAATGAATGTAAACGGGAACTTGTAGCACCAACCCGGCTCCAGAATCGATGCTGGTTGATATGAACCCTGCTCAATCGGACTATGGAGCTTCATAAACGTGTGACGAGTACCGATAAGAGGCGGTCCATTGATACCTCCCCAGGTCACTACCCTCGATATCCCTTCCAATGTGATCTTGATGTCCTCGAAGGCGGTTTTCTCCGCCACTGTGATCGTCACCACTCCTTCGATCTTATCTAGTGCAGTGAAAACCACTGGGCGACCGTCCTCGGCGCCGGCGATGTGAATTGACACTGATATCTTCGAGGAGGAGCTCCCGGTGCTCGGAGCATATGAGCGTAAGACAGCTGGGATCTTGGCCATGATCGTGTTTCTTCCGCCAATAAAAGTGAGGACAACGAGTCCACGATAGTAGGTCGTCGTCTGCAAGCTCAATCGAGAAGGAGAATCCGGGATGCAGGATATGCTATCTTTTTCTAGTATGATGGATCATCAATACCAGGACGGGAAAGCTGGCGTTGATCCGTGGACGGTCCGTGCCGGGCCGGGGGTTTATCGACCTTGCGGTCCGCCCTTCCGAGGTATCTCCAGTCTCTATCTGACGTGCTTTCGATTAGATCTAGACTTCTTCTTTTTAAATATCCATGTCCACAGAGACTATGATGAACTCCCTAATCACATGTGGTGGGAGGCTATACTTTGGTTGGTGAATTGTCGGGTAGTGCCGAAACCGAAGGGAGGAAAGGTAGATTAGTAAACATTCGTCTATTCGAAGCCAAGAATGGACAAATATAAACGTCAAGAGCTAATCCACGGTGAGGCCAAACTGTTATTGCTACATCTATAAGTTGTACATTCCTCGAATTGCTGGGGAGTGGGAATATCCGGCTAGTTGCTTACTGCTACGCCATCAATGACTGCATCTCGGCAACGTATATTAGTGTGCTGGCTTTGAACTTCGCATTCATGAATACAGTAGTGCGGTTATGTGCTAGAGCCTGGAGGTACCCGATCGTACGAGCTACCCAAATCCGTGTCCACTTGATATTGTTCAATTATATGCCATCGTTGAAGACAGTACTCGGCCAATAGAGCCCATCTGGTTTCTCCGAAAGACAATTATTCATATAACAAGTGAGGAGATAATCAATAGATTGTATTGTATCAGGTTTCTGTACAAATATCAGTGATCTATGCTCCAGTCCCCACCACAATTTACGAACAAGATAGCCCAGAATGGACTCAGTATCGATTGAGCTACCCGCCGACATCCCCATTCAACTGCTGCAACTTAGCCATCTGCCAATATTGTCCTCCCAGTTTCATCAATTCCTCATGACGGCCTCTCTCAATAATGCATCCGTGATCCAAGACCAAAATCTCATCAGCGTCAACAATCGTCTTGAGTCGATGGGCAATTGAGATGACCGTCCGGCCTTTCATTGCCCGCTGCAGTGCTTCCTGCACTAGTGCCTCTGAGGCACTATCTAGCGCCGAGGTTGCCTCGTCAAGTAAGCTAGAAAAAGTCAGAGAATCGCCTATACAAATAGGACCGGGCGGGCCTTACAGAATCTTCGGGTCCCATAGAAGGGCCTTGGCGATGGCTATGCGCTGGCGTTGGCCTCCGGACAGAGTCGATCCGTTGGCCATAACTGGGCTGCTCAATCCTTCAGGGAGAGATAGCTAGTCACAATCAGATTAGAAATGGAATTAAGCCTGTAGCTGGTAAATGAATAGAAGACGTACCACGAAATCAGCTAGTCCCACACTCTTTAGAGCAGCCATGATTTTCTCGTCTGAAACGACTCGCTCGTCACTCTGCAAACACTCGCGCAGATCCTCACCAACCAGACATGGATTCTGGTCGACCAGCGCCAGGTATCCTCTGTAGTTGTTGAGATCATAGCGTTCAATGGGAGCTTGATTTAATGTTATCTGACCTGACTCAGCCGCGTAGAACCGCTCTATCAGACTAATCACAGAGCTTTTGCCACTCCCAGTGGCTCCGACAAGAGCGATAAAGCTCCCAGCTGGGGCACTGAATGTGACGTCGTCCAGTGTTAGTTGAGACTGTCGGGTAGGGTATCTGAAGTTAATGTGCTGTAGCGCCAAATTCTCCGTGGTATTCGGCACAAGGGCAGAACTGTAGCCCTGCTTTGGGTCCTTGGGTGGGAGTATTGCTGGGGGACCATCGGGTCGCATCAGTTCCGTCAGTCGAGCAGCAGCAGCATGAGCACCTGCAATGTCTGGCGCGTGAGCAAAGAGAGTAGCGGCAGACTGGGACCCCCAAACGGTGGCCGCGAAACATATGAAAAATTGTTGGATGGTATATTCGCCCGGTGCGATGAGACGAGTGCCGCCATACCAGAATACGAAAGCAATACTCAGTATCCGAAGTGATGTGGTGCACCCATGCAGGCCAGCAGATATGACCCAGTACCCATGTTGCCTGTCTCGGCGACTTGCTTTTTGGAACGATTCGAGAACGCTGGTCTGCAAGCCGAGTATGGTCACTGTTTTGATAGCGGAGAAGGCTTCATGCGCAATGGCCACGGAGTCAGTGTCGCGCTTCACGTGCTTCTGCACTTGTGCCTCGATATAGTATTGCAGGAAGCTGGACATGGCTATCAATGGGACTGTGGCCATTGCTGCGACGCCGAGCTTCCATCCAAAGATACATCCAACTATGATCCCCGTCGCAAGCATTACGATGCTTTCCGCTACCAGTCCGAGTGACGTTCCTGACACACCGGTGATCTTCGGAGTGCCCGACGAGAGGAAGCTTACCATGTTTCCAGTTGAATGACCTTTATCCTCGAAAAAGACAAGGTTCTTCAGCAGCAGCGCCTTGAATAAATGCGACCGCGCTCGGAGGTGCAACTGAGATGCAGACACCGCGAAGCAATAGCCTCGTACACAGTACAATAGAAACACAACGATACCATGAATAAGATATAATCGAGCCCAGAAATATACATCGTGCCCTCCGGTACTTGCACCAGGGCTAATGATTGATATGATCCCGTTGCCGAAGAAGATAGCTTGAATGGGATATGTCATTCCAGCCAATGCACTGAAAATAATACCCGCAACAACGTAAGGCAGCTCGGGCTTATTCAAGTGCCAAACCTGGCCGATGCTACTTTTCGGTGATGAGATTGACCATGGACCATCCTCGGTCTTCTTCGGAGTGTCATCTTTGACAGATATTTCACTGGACCTAGTTTTTAGACAATCTGTAGAGGATAGCAATTCTCGAACTTCGTCGCTCTGCCGAAGTGCCTGGTGCTCCACCAATTCTCGGTACATCTCAGATGTGCTCATTAACTCCCAATGCTTACCTTGATTCAAGATCTGGCCGTCTTTCATGACAATTATCATATCGGCATCTTGGATTGTCGATAGCCGGTGAGCTATTATCATGGTCGTTCGCCCATAGGCAGCGCTGTTCAAAGCCTCCTGGATATCCTTTTCGCTTTGACTATCCAAGGCAGCAGTAGCCTCATCCAGTAGGAGGATGGATGGCTGAGATACAATGGCGCGGGCAATTGCGAGCCGTTGCCTCTGTCCACCGGAGAGACCTGACCCATTAACCCCTATGATGGTATCGTAGCCGTTGGGGAGACTGGTGATAAAAGAGTGGATATGCGCGGTCTTGGCAGCCTGAACTACTAGTTCTCGAACTGCAGATTGGTTCAGTGCCTGTTCCTGTATGAGCGAACTGACTTGGTAAAAATCAATGGATCCTGGCAGATATACCTCTATAGTAGTCTTGGGCAGCCCATGAGCAATATTGTCAAGAATCGATGCACGGAACAAGGTGACATCCTGGCTGACATACCCAATCTGAGACCTGAGCCACGAGACATTTAGGGCATCAACCGGCTCATTATCTAGCATAATCTCCCCGCCGGTGGGATTGTATAAACGTGCCAAAAGAGCAAAGACCGTCGACTTACCAGATCCCGAAGGCCCTACCAAGGCGACAGTGTGTCCGGCAGGCACAGTGAAGCTAATCTCTCTGAGAACAGTTCGTTCCGGTTGCGAAGGATAAGCAAACGCTACATTGTCGAACCAGATCTCTCCCCGAACAGGACCGTATATGCGTCCTGCAACCGCCATGGGATTGATCGGCGAAACACGCTCAATTACCGAAATGACTCGGCTGGCTGCTTTGCTGGCCCGAGTAACGTCGACGACATACGGCAACGCTTGACACAGCATGCCGCCTGCGACGACTGTTGCGTAAAGGATGGACAAGGCCTCTGAAACTGTACAAAGTCCCTGGCGGAAGAGGCGATCCGCCTGCCAAAACTAACCCTAACTATTAGCAGGATTTTTAAAGCCTGTGGCCGTACGTACACCCAATCCATTAGCCCAATGCAAGATCGTAAAGGAGCCTGCAACGATCACGCCAAAGATTAACCGCTCCCGAAAATCCAGGGCAGCCGGCTGCAGCAACGTATCGTGGTACTTTCTCGCATATCGTTCTTGGCTTCGGTACGCGATAACGCTCCGCATAGCACTGAGAACTTCTTGGGCTAGATTGTCAAGTTTAACGGAATGCGACAAGCCCCTTTGCTGTGTGGCGCTTAGCCAAGACCCCATTAGTCCCACCAAGAGGATCATGGCAATCGGCTGCGATATCATTATCGATGCGAAGCGTCGGTTCTGGATAAAGGCGCAGATAATGGCAACAACAAAGCCGGATACTCCGGAGATAATGTTGCCCATCTTCTGCGAGATACCCGTTTGGATCAACTTCATGTCCTGGTCGATGCGGGAGGTGAGCTCTCCTGTGCCGACGACATCGAAGTACGCCATGTTCTGCTGCAGCACTGAAGAGAAGTACTTTTGTTGGAGGCGACGTGTAATTTGTTCTCCGACTACGTTGAGGCCCCAGGTGCTGATCATAGTAGAGACAAATGACCCGATCGCTGATATGTGTCAGATGATATCTTCAAAGTTGGTTTCAACTTCCCATACCGATGTAAACCAGCAGTAGGGTGAGATGCTGGACCCTGTCGCGAACATCCTCTGGTGCATTCTCATCCCCATTGATGAATTCACTTGCCAAAGCCCCGAACACGATCGTGACCAAGGGCATTGCAGCCCCGGCGACCACTGCGCAGCTTGCTGATACCAGCAATGCGCAGATCAGTGGCGCGTTTGCATATCGGTAGATTGAGAAAAGGTTCGCCGTGCTAGGGTCGATGCGAACCTGACACTCGATGATGTCGGCGGCGCAAGGAGTAGAAGAGATCGGCGGGATTTCACCCAGCAGAATCTCCTCGTCCGACATCCTGTGTCCTCTTGAAGGGCATCGACCGCACTGTCAAATTTGCCGTATTGTCTGGAATGAATGACTTGCGAGGATGGGCATAGTCGTGGTCACGTGGATCACAACATTCCCAAGTCTTGACCAGATTTCAGGTATTTGGGATGGCTAGCAGGCTGGTGATCGATCACATCGTTCTACACGACTACGGAACTGTGCTACTTATGTTGCATATTTGTGTCTGCATAATACGAATATGATGGATCATACTGCCACGAATTCCATTAGATAACCCGAAATCCTGCTAGCTATTCAACAGCATTTACTGACATTGCCCGTAGTGACAACAAGCCATACCCGTGCATTCTTCGATAAAATCACCATAATACCCTGCAGCCTTTCAGAGGGACTCCTCACCCAGATAGTTCAATTTAGAAGGGCCCATATATCTAGGATACAAAGGGACATGCTACTTATACTAAAAGTCTCCAAAGAAGACGGATTTGGAGAAGCATTCCCATAGCCTCGGAATATGTCTTGCCCGACGGGCTTTCGTTGTACTGAAGGCTTGCTGCATTCGAGACGTCCCCTGCCTGCACCTCGTCGATGTCAAGCAAAGTCATCAACTGTTTGTGGATCGAAGGCCAAGCCTCAGAGCGCGTTTTGAAGAGAAGCCACCAGTCGCCTGCGGCATCCTTGCCAATGACCCTACAGACATTCCGAGTGGGGTACAGACGGCAATGCTCAATGTCGTTGATGTAAGACGGTCTACCCAGTGCATGAGGTCTGTCTTTGAGAGGGAGACCGGGGGCAACAACAGCGGCGGAGAAGTCAGTCTCGAAATACCTAGCTTTGTGTTGGTTGGTATGGGTCATGAAGAGCAGGCTCGAATCACCGACGAGGGGTGGAATCTGCATGAACGAGTCTCGTTGAATGGCAGTCATCGCTTGGACTTGCTCCTTGGTTCTGTGCTCCATGAGCGCCTGCCGATTCTTGCACGCCAGGTGTGCCAAGTTGTTATCCTCGAGGACCTCGCTCGTCTTGTGCACCGTGTATGAGTTGAAGAATGCATTGCCGATGAAGCCCTTCGCGCCGGCCGGGAACGACTCCTTGAACAGACCCCAGACATTGAAGGGGCTCATCACCATGACGGTACGGCCGGGCGCAGGGTTGAGGGCTGTGACCATGGTCTTCACCCACCATGCGGAGACGACATCAGGCTCGCTCAGGAAGGGCACTTCGGCTCCCTCCGGGGTCGAAGCCGCCAGCTCCTCTTGAGCATTTTGCCTCATCTGTTCCACGCAGTGTCCCGGCACCCGGATGGGATGCTCTTCCTCCTTTCGGAACCAGAAAAGTTCGAATAAGTACCTGAGCCCAAACAGTACGAGACTCAGTCCGGCAACGAGCCGTCGGAAGTGGGTGTAGTTCTCCCGAGGGACTCCCTTGCCCAAATCGCCCAAGGGGTCCTGGTCAAAAGGAACAAAAGGCGGCACGTCTTCCTCCCGGCCATCGAGGACAGCTATCCATGCCTTGAAGAAGTTGGTCCGCGCGACGGCGTCGAAAAAGGTGTGAAGATAGCTAACCGTCAGAAGGGTTGCATCTTCAAAGACCGCAACATGGACATGCAGCTGCCCACGGTCGGAATAGATCCAGTCGGCCAGCTCTCGGGGACTATCCGCATGGCGGACCAGTGGCGCAAACTCCGCACAGGATGGCGACAGGACAGACTGGTCCTGGCCGGTTTTCGGCAGCCGTGCGCCCAACGGGTGTTCATTGATACCCATCCCATACTTCTCGGTGGTAAACCCGAATGCGGGGCGGGTGCTCTTGTCGTACTCACTCGGGATGTGATATTCGAGCTTTCCGTTATCCTATATACCACATTGCTACGTTAGTATTGTGGGCCAGGTTGTGGTTCACGAAGGTCCATACATTCAGTCGCAGACGAGCCCCCAGTTGACCCCAGTCGCCGATTTCCATCAGCCGGTCTAGTGCTCCCTCAAGTTTTGAGGCATCAAGAACGTCATCAAAGCGGAAGGTAAAGTCATGGCTAAGACTACGTAGATAGTGCAAATCATCCCAGTATCGAAGAGGGACAACCCGATCGGTGGATATAGTTGCTGGCCGTGCACGGCCAAAGACAGAGAGGAGACCCATTGCTGCCGCTGCCGTAGGGGATTCGATACTCGTGTCGTCTCGGGAGGGGTGAGTATCTTGTAAATATCACCTGCCGAAGCTCCCCCCTCGTGTTAATAAATCATCAAGGGATTGGTGTTCCTCTGCTACGAATTAACCCTGGGGTGGGACAATATACGGCCCCCTTGCTTCTGCATGCGAGCCTTCGCCATTCCATATACAGCAAGGTATGAAAGAGCGGTATGCCACAGAGTGGGACATGCATTCCAGTAATTGCTTTTTGACTACAGAAGTAATGCCTCATATGCATGTTGCTATGAACTTGAGTAATTCTTCACACACCTCACATGGCCATCTTCAGCTCCATCTCGCCGTGCACCGCCCGGAAATACCGCCCGAGTGCCATGATCGGAAAATAATGGCGATAGTAGTCGTATCCCAAGTAAAAATGATTTGGAAATCCAGTGCCCGTGTACACTGGTTCAGGCCAGGTAAACCCAAGGCCTTTCTCCGGCTTTTGAGAACAGACCAGCCACTGTATGCCGCGTTCAATGGCAATGTCGGTGTGGGGGAGATGGGCCAGGAGTCCCATAAGCGCCCATGCTGTCTGCGACGCTGTTGATCTCTGCCCCTTTCTCTCGGGACTTTGGTATGACAGCAAGGACTCGCCCCACCCGCCGTCATCATTTTGCTGAGACTTCAGCCATTGCAACGCTGGTTGCGCCAAGGTAGGAATCAGTGTATCGTCTTGAGAAAAGTACGCCAGACCACACAGTGCATGGCTAGTCCCATAAATGTAATTGCACCCCCATCGGCCGAACCAGGACCCATTAGTCTCCTGCGTAGAGGCAAGGTATTGGATAGCTCGTCTGCACGCTGCGCGTATCGCGGGACCAAGTTGGCTCAGCTGGCTGGCGTTGCCTTTTGCTGGGGCGCGGAGAATCATCAGTCCGAAGGCCTCCAGGATTCGCCCGGTGATGTCGGCGCAGGACGTGTCACATAGACTGTCCATGTCACTGAACGGGATTTTGTTGAGAAATAGCTTATCATTCTCCACGTCAAAGGCCGCCCACCCTCCGTCAGGATTCTGCATGCCCAGGATCCATGTCGCTGCGGCGATCACGGAGGGGGAATGACACGATCTCGCGTCATGCTTCACTTGCGCAAGGATGATCGCTGCCGTGTCGTCTATATCGGGATAGTGGCTGTTTGTGTACTCGAAGCTGAACCCCCCCGGCGCAAGGTGGGGCCGGTATACACGCCAATCTCCGCAGGGTTCGAGCAACTGGCGGTCTCGGATCCATTGGATAGCGCGATCGACGATCTGCTGATTGGGTGATGCGGCATCGCAGAGGGCAATTGACATCAGAGTCGTGTCCCATACGGGTGAAACACAAGGTTGGACTCTTTTACCTTCTGCATCCTCCCAAGCGAAATTCTCAATCGCTTGGATGCCAAGACTGACAGGGGGATCGTCCAGTTTGTACCCTTCTAGCATGAACGCATACACGCTGGCATGCATGGGCGGAAAGATCCCGGCCCAGTCGCCGGTGGGTTCCTGGCGCTCCAGGATCCATTTCATACATTGCTGCCGTGCGTACGATCTGAGGAAAGGGACTGAGCGAAGTCCGTTGAGTTGATAAAGCAGTTTGTCCAGGATACTGAATGCCAGCCCAGTAATGTCGCCCTCGGACAGCAGCTCCCAGAGGGATGGACCGTAGGGCGCGGTTTTGCTAGCTGGATCTTGCCATAACTCGTCTAGATAGTCATTCTCTGCTGTTATTCCGTTCGGGAGCGCGTAGACGGGCTGATGATGGCAGATGATCAACAGAGGGGCAATGGTGCCGCGGGCCCAAGATGCGAACTTGTAGATGTTGATTGGACATGTGGAAGGGAGCAGAACCAGCTCCACAGGGAGCTGAGGTACTTCATTCCATGGAAACAACCCGAAGGTTGCCAGGAAGATGCGAGTGAACACACGAACCTTGGCAACCCCTCCCGCCTTGAGAATGAATGCTCTGGCATGTTGCATGGCTGGGACGTCTACATTCGCCCCTAATATTTTCAGCGCGAGATACGCTTCGGTGGTGGTCGAGACATCGCCTGGAAACTCGGGCGCTAGACCCCAGGAGCCGTCACAGTTTTGCTGCGATAGTATGTAGCGACAATAGGCCGCACCGTCAGCTTTCAGGTCGAGCCCCAGAGCCTGTCGGAGAAAGATATATTCGGCTGTTATGATGACATTTGACCTCATCTCCCCACACCAGTGTCCATCGGAGTGTACCACATTATATGTATAGTCCATAGAACGTCGTAGAGTTTGCTCTACCTCTGGAAGTAACTGCTCTCTTTCCCCGAAGGCATCTTCGAATTCTTGATATCCAGTCGTCATTTTTGGCAATCGTGGCTGGGAGCTGATTGATGTTGATAGCCTGTCATCAGCTACTTAGAGATCTAAGAAGTTCGCAATACAAAGCCTTGTCAATATATGCCAGATATGGATTTTGAATTCAGGCATGCCCAGTGATCTGGCTATTGAACTTTGTTTGCTTCTGCAATTGTGTCTCCTGGTGGGACAATCTTGTCACTGCATAAGCTTTTCCTTTATGAGCAAAAGAAAGTATGAAATAGTGCTGCACTTGCAGACCGCAACATACCCCTTGCATGCACCCGATGGATACATCTCTTTTTCCGTGACATAGACCCTCCTGCGAGACCCACAGGCGTCCGTGAGTATCACAACAGGGACTCCCATGATCACGAAAGCCCCAATGTGTGTGAACTGCTAGGGCATGATGTCTTAACAACCATAGGATACCCAGCATGACACCTCAGGCAAAATGATGCAACCAGTTGAAGCGCTAGGACCACTTGTTCTCTCTAAACCCCTCATATTGACTGTTGTCGGAATAATTTTGCTTCTCTTCGTGCGAAAACTGCACTGGACTCTAAAGCTGCGAGGGCTGGAACGACTCCATGGCTGCGAAAAACTACGCAGTGAAAAAGGGCGTTTTCGATACGATTTTCTTGGCATCACCAAAGCTCTCGAATTAGCATTTCATTTCAAGCGTCGAACCTCCCTTCCGTATACCAATACACTGTTCAAACGATACGGGGAAACCTATGCATCCAATGTCCTCGGCTTTCGACTCATCTTTACCTGCAGCGCAGACAACATCAAACATCTATTGTCCACAGCATTCCCCGATTTTGACAGCTCCCCACTGCGAAAGCCCTTATTTGAGCCTATCACTCCACATGGCATCTTTACTCTCGACGGTGCGGGATGGAAGCAAAGCCGAGATCAGTTACGCGGCCGGCTTTGTAACCTCCGCAAGATCATCGACTTGAATCAGTGCGAGCGCCACTTTCAGGCTTTTCTTCAGCATGTCCCACCCAATGGACAGGCGTTCGACGCTCAAGCCTGTGTCTTTGCTCTCGCCTTGGATATGCAGACCTTGTTCTCGCTGGGCGAGTCGGTTGATGCCCTCAGCCATTCTCAGTCCAAGGAAAAGAGGCAGTTCTTGGATGATCTGCTTTTTGTCAAGGAGAGAATTGTGCAGGATGGTTTTCGCGGCCCGCTCCAGTATCTCTATCCTAAGCGACGCTTTCTCCAGTGTTGTAAGAGGGCACGAAAGTATGTGATGGCTCATGTTGCTCGGCAGCTCGAAGAACAACATACCATGAATGAAAAGCCAGAAAGAGACCCCCACAGGCGTAACTGCAACAGCAAGGAAGGGGAGGTGTCTCTGTTAGCAGACCAGGCGCTGAGCATTCTGCTCGCAAATGACAGCATGAGCACGACCCTCTCGGGTCTTTTCTTCTGCCTTGCCAGGGACGAGCGTGTCGTCCACAAGCTAAGAGCGAGCATACTTGACACCGTGGGGTTAACGCCTCCAACGTGGGGCCAGCTCGGATCTCTGCACTACATCCGTTGGGTTCTCCAGGAAGGTGAGAATTAATCTATTAGTATTCGCGATTAGCATACACTAACACGATCGCCCGTGAAGTAATGAGACTCTTTCCTGCAGTTGTTTTCAACGCCAGGGTAGCCAACAAGGATTCAACGCTGCCAACCGGTGGTGGAACTCACGGCAACTCCCCGGTGCTGCTTCGGAAGGGAGAAATCGTGGTCTTTTCCACCTGGGCTCGACATCGCCTGGGGAAGGACTTTGGCGAGAATCCAGAGGAATTCTACCCAGAACGATGGGAACACCTTAGTGCAGATATGATTGGCTTTATCCCGTTCAACAAGGGGCCTCGAGCCTGTCCTGGTCGTAAGACGTCCTCCCTGGGTGTTCTGATGTTTGCCTGTTTACTGACACCGGTACAGAGCATTATGCTATGATTGTGCTCACGTACATTGTGACTCGGATATTTCAGACGTTTTCAACAGTCCACAATTATAATTCACAGGAATGGACAGAGAGGATTAGCATGACGCTTGAGAACGAGAACGGGGTTCTGATTGGTCTAAGCTAAAATGCCTTGGATAGAAGTTTCTATAAGGATATTCAATCAAACTCATTCGCTATGATGCACATGCATTCTTTTTCTAATTCTCCTTGGCTCGGAAGAGAAGCTTGATACAGTCCACCGGCATACTCTCCATACTGATGCGAAAAAAGATGTCGTTCTGGTTTAAACAATACCAGGAAGCATAACAAACCTCTTAGCCTTGTACTTATCCCCAAATTCCTCGCGGTAGCGGCGCTCCTTCTTCTTAGCCCAGATCCCCATTTGCACACTGCCAATAATGATAAAAATGAGAACGCTCCAGCTCAGTCCACTAACAAGATAAATCCCCACCCAAGAGATAATCTCGAATAGATAGTTAGGGCAGGTCACTGCACCAAATCCAAACCCGTGCGGTACACCACGCTCAGGAACCCCTGGACGGCGGAGATCCCGTAACACAAAGTGGGTTTTCAAGTTCGCCATTTCTCCAAAGGCAAAGAGGGCAAGGCCTGTGGAGAGTAGGATGGGATTGCCTGGCTCCATGTCAGGCCGGAAGATCCAGTAAGCCATATTGCCGGTCATCACGCAGTAATAGCCACTGTTTAGGAAAAGTTTGCGCGCCGGCATGGTGGCATTACTGAATCGGTGGACGAAGATGGACTCATACTCACGTTTCACGAAATGGGTTGTCAACAGCGCACAGAGAAGGAGCTGATGGCCGCTCGGTTCGGTGATAGTATCGTAATTGTAGTACAGATATGAGCGTAGCATGAAAAGGAAGAGACCCGGGATGAAGACTGGGCCAAGATATTCGGCGATGAACACGGTGCGCCACGAGATCTGGGGACCTGGATGGGCAAGGGCAGGAGTATCAGTCTGGATTACGCTGTAGGTCTCGCGGCGTGAGCATACCAAGGTCCTTAACATGAATCAGACTCGGATTGTCGATTCCGGCCTCCTTAATGGTAATCTTCTTGGAATTAGGAACCAAGGTCCAATCGTTTCCATTGCTGATCCTCAAGCGATAGATGGATAAACCCGACGCTTCAGCAAGAGCATTGTAGAGTTCCTCTGTTGAGGCATGCAGACTAATTACAATGTCCTGTGGAAGGCTTTTTATTGATCTTCCTGTGTCGCTATTTACTAGTAACTCGGCTGGTTGTGAGATGGACGAACTTACCCCTTGGGTGAGGAAACACCGCGATTCTGGCCGAGGTCATTAGCCTGAAGTTGATAAGCTGATACCAAATTACCAATCCAAGACTGATATAGACAATATAATCGCCACCGCCCAATGTTATCATATGGTTGGGGGAAAGTAAAATACAAAATAGGGACACCAGGGAAGAGAAAATGATCTGCTATGCCATCACGTGATGATCCCATGCATGGGATACATCAATCTAAAATTTCTTCTGGGGCCCAATGATGTTCAATATTACATATTAATTGAGTTTTAACATGCACAGATACCATAGGTTTGCTGTTCGAATGCTAGGTATGTGTGTCGTGCAACTTCAAGCCAGCTACCCCATGGAGTTGAAGTATACAGTAAAAGAGATCCAATTCTCTTCTTTTTACTATACCCGCAAAGCTCAGACAGTCTATAAACAAATGCCATCCATTACATAACCTAATATTCTTTATAATTATAAGAATATTTACTAACTATCTAGACTAACCAGACATCTCTCAAGACTAACACCTACTCAAAGCTAGTCTAAAAGTTGAATTATAGAAGTCAAAGTACAGCCTTAGATAAGAAGCCCTACGCGTGGTCTGCTTCCTGGTTTAGGACTTGACAACGAAGGCCCGGGTGTAACATTATTCTCCTGCAGTAAGTAATCTATCACTTTCAAACCAATCGCCTCCTGACATGCTCTTCCAGTGGGCCCCCCAGTGTGAGGAAGACCTTGACAGTTGAGAGCACAACAGAGCTGGTGCCATGCAGTAGAGAAGATGCAAAATCGTGGAATAGTCGAGATCAGTAACATCAAGATAGACCAGTCTGGGGAGGGAAATCATACGAGATCTTGGATTGATACCAGTTGGAGTCGGGTATGAGTTCCCAATACAGTAATCCACCCCTAAACGCCACCCCTATACTCGGATACTCCTTGGAAAATGTCCATGGCTATAATTTCACCGAATTTTGTGATGACAAAGAGTAGTTTTTTCCCGAGGTGGCCCCGTGATGCAGTGAAGGAAGATGCTGATCATATGGCAGTGCTCACCCAGCAGCCCAAGAAGCTATTTGAGCAATGGTTGAACATGGTCCCCGGCCGTCGTATCTGTGATCCGGCCGAACTGAAGGCTATATGTATATTTTGGATATGGCCATTGTCACGTAAGCGAGAGCTAACCATTCTCCAGGCGTATGTTTTCCTTGCAAGCGATGCTTGCAGCCATATGACTGGCTCCAACCTGGTGATCGATAGGGGTTACACCTTGCCGTGAGCGATCTTTTTTGTTCAGTATAGTTTCCAAGATCTATAGACGTATCAACCTGCCTCAGTTTCGATATTTCTTGCGCGGTCTCTCGTATCTACACCCCATCTTCTGTGTGGGCACATGCCTGTGCCAAGGAGACTTTCTCCCTTACTAAATTGAACGACAGTCATGTATAATCCGAGGCAGCTTCAACAACCATGCAAAATCTTCCATTTTCTATAGGTGTACAATTCACTGCTAGTTCTTGCAGGAAATTCTCGTTGAATAGGGTTCCTTCTCGGGCCAATACTTCAACACTTCACGATATCAGCTTATTTCATGTTCCCCTGGAGGAACAATAACTGGACGAGCGCATTGGACGGAGGTGGGGCTGATGTTTGGTGGATGTCCATATTCCGCCACTTTCGGAGATCTTTGGAACTAGAAGAGTCCATAAATATGCGAGTGGCTCGTTGTCTAGACCGGATCGAGAAAAGAACCCCTACCAGATGATTTGCGAGGACCTAAAGGGTTCCTACGACATGTGACTACACGAACAATATCCCAGAGCTGTGGGGCACGTGCAGATCACCAATGTAAAGCAAGAGTGCTGCTTGATTTCCGTCCACGTACCCGTTCAGCACTTTAGCGCCACGATCGCCTATATAGACAGAGACTAATGCACATCACACGGGGCATGTCAAGGGCACTGGGCGACTTTGCCAAATTCGGCATTCATCCCCGCTCGGTCCGTACAAAGTGGAGGAACTTGTGGACAACAGGCAAGAAGGGAAAGTGTTGCTTCCAAGTCGATATATATACCCACAGTAGTAGATGGAATGAAGTAGACATAGTATCCCTATTTCCTTTCGCCGTGATAATTCACCGGTCGGAGAAAACAAGATGGAGAAACTGCTTCCTTGTCTGGTTAACAGACCCTTTGATGGTCATCATATCTGGCAGTCGACTGAAAGTGATGACATTCTGGCTCTTGTGCTAGGCCTATTAATAGTCATAATACTACTGTATGATTCATCTCTTTTCAACAAGAATGCCGCCCAGTCACTCTGGCACCAATGTCCGCAAGGAGTGAATGACCGGAAGACAATGTCAACTGATATCAATATTGCCCAGGCAACAAAAGACCAGGTTAGTACTCTCCGATCGTGTAATTGATTCAAATGTTGACAGTAACTGCAGGGGAAAGATATCGTGATTTTCTATGGTACACAGTCCGGTACATCATACGAGCTGGCCAGACATCTCAGTCGGTCGATCTTTCAGCTGTTCTCCAAGGCGACCATTGTTGCGGATCTGTCAGACTATGACTACGACAGCCTCTCAGAGCTTCCTCCCAATGTGATTGTGCTGTTTATCCTATCAACCTATGGTGAAGGAGATCCGCCGGACAATGCCATCAGATTTGACGAGTGGTTAGACAAAGGACTGCGACAGCATCCATCGGGCTATCTGTCCCACCTGCACTATGCAGTCCTCGGATTGGGCAACTCAAATTATAAGCACTATAACCAATTTTCAAGGAAGGTTCAAAAGGAACTTGAGGCTGCTGGAGGTTGCCCGATCCTTGATCTTACATTGGCGGATGACTCAAGTGGATTCACACGCGGCGATTACTCTGAATGGTCCAGGCAGCTCATCAACGTGATGGTTGAGCAATGCAATATCCCCGAACGACCGAGACCATACGAGCCTGTGTTTGAGATTGAACCCTGTGACTCCCCGGGTGACTATCGGGCAATGTCTCGACCGATTCATTCGCCAAGTGGATCGGAACAGATACAGTCCCAATCAGCCATCTACTCCGCCAACATTGCATCGATTACCAATCTTACCCCACATGCACAACAGACGACACTACACATCGAAATCGATACCAGCCGTTTACCAAGAGGCAAGTACAACGTCGGTGAGCACCTCTTGATATGGCCGGAGAATAGCACCCAAGAGATCCAACGCCTCAGTCAGATTCTCGGAATCGACAGCAAGGAGATGCACCAACCGCTGCAAATCCGGCGTAAAGACCGCGAAACGAAGTCCCCCTGGCCACAGCAGGTCACGATTCATACTCTATTCAAGCACCATCTGGACATTGCTGGTCTTGCATCCAACGATCTTATACTCTCGTTGAAAGAATTTGCGCCAGATGAGAAATCTCGGGCTGTCTTGGACCAAATGGCGGCTGACTATCGACATCTGTCCGCGACTTGTGCTCTCAGCTTGGCATCCGTACTCACTAGAGCATCTGGATCGTCGCAGGTGTGGACGATTCCCTTTCCATTTCTCTTGGAGAATCTGAGCGCACTCAAGCCCCGAATTTACTCGATTGCGTCTAGTCCTGCTATTAGTCCACGGCAGATTTCTCTGACAGTGGCAGTGAAAGAACTCAATCCTGGAACTGCACAATCTGCACTGGGTCTGGCCTCAGCATTCTTCCTCGGTGCTCGACATTCACTCACCCCGGATATCCAGGGGACTGAAGGCCGACTGGGTACGAGCGTGTGGTGCAGCCTGCGGAAATCCAAATTCAAGCCTCCGGCTTCCACCATGCACCCTATCATCATGGTGGCGAACGGATCCGGCATTGCACCGTTCATCGGATTTCTGAAGCACCGTCTACGCAAGCTTGGGATCGAGGGAGGAGTCGGGAAGATGGTCCTGATTTATGGCTGCCGGGATGGAGCCTCCCATCTGTATAAGGATGAGCTTTACGGGATGCAGGATGCTTTCAATGGCCAGCTTGGACTGGTTACCGCGTACTCGCGACAGGGGGAAGGCTATGTACAAGACCACGTAAGGTCCCGTGCGGAGGAGCTCCAGGGCCTACTCTGTGGTGAGAAGGCCAATGTGTATATCTGTGGGTCGGTCCGTATGTCCAGTGCTGTGCGGGAGGAGCTGCTCCGCATCATTCAGAGGAAAGAAGGCTGGACCGATGCTGAGACGCGGGACTTTGAAGGTGCTCAGATACGGATGCGGAAATGGCAACTTGATGTGTGGGGGTAAAATGGACAGAACCTGCATGCATTGCTAGGATGGTTAGGAGTATCAACTTGGATCAGCCTTTTTCTCTCGCTGTAGAAAGAATCGGCGCTTGAGTTGGTGCAGAAGGCTACGGTAGACTAAATCCAGCTAACGGACAATAGACCAGATTTCCGCATTTCTTACCGAAATGTTAGCGTTTTACATAAAGCCACGGCTACCACGCACCTTAAAAGACTTAGTGTCTTGCCGCCCCCGAACCTCGCCACGACCTTCAGAACTGGGGCCCTAGCTTAGGGTAGCCAGGGTACTAGAAGTCTAAAATTTAGAGGGGGCTATAGGAATATAGCACTGGTGCTCTCTCTAAATATTTAGTACTAGTATCCCTAAATATCTACCTAGTAGTATTGATATCTCTAAAGATCTAGGATTTCTAAGAGACTCTTCAAGGCGGTCAATATTTCGGGACTGGATTAGTCGATAGTTCGAAAGTATAGAAATAATTTAAAGTATATAATTGGTTAAAACTTAGGGTAGGGCCAAATAAATAGATCTAATTGGTTAATATAAAGTGTGTTGCTATTTGTAAAGTTGGTCATATTTTCCATTATATTGTCCGTTAGCTCGATTTAGTCCGCCGTACAAAGCTTTTGTCGAATGAAAAACGCTGCTCACCCGATAGCTCCACTTTACCTGCGGGCGACTGTTTCCCATACGGAGATCATACCCGTCGATTGAGGATCGCGGTAATGCACAGTTCTGGGCTCTACCGTTGAATCCAGTTCGGCATGGATGCATTTTTTGCGATCATCGAAATTATATGCTACTACCCCCCGCATAACACTTGCGCACGGATTGGGGCCTGGGGTTTGGGGTATAGTTCGTCCAGCCACAATGAATACCATAAAAGCCTCAATCTATCCCCCATGTATTTCTGTCTACACATTCAAGTCTCTTGCACATTGGATAGTTTTGCATCATGGTTGCTTCAACGTCGACTTCCACCAAGACACGGAGGCCCTACCTCGGCTTAACTGGAGGATGGTTGACACTTTGGATAACAGTATGACGTTGCTCATGTCAACTCTCAACTGCCCCCATGGCTGAGCTTGCGACTCTAGATTGCCTGTGCCACCGACATGAGTCTTTTTGGCTATGATCAAGGAGTCTTCGGTGCGTCATCCCTCTATTCCTGTCTACAACAAGACATCGATGCTCATGGTCAACACAGGTGGCGTTGTAGTCACAGGTGACTTTCTCGAGGTCCACAGTCTCATAGGCCCAAGGAAGACTTCAACCCTGTCGACGGTAACCGCAATCTACGACATCGGTTGCTTCTCTGGTGCCGTCATGGCGTTTACCCTTGGGGAGCGTCTGGGCCGCAAAAAGGCCATCATGCTGGGGACCACTATCATGGCCGTTGGAACCATTCTCCAGATGACTTCATACAGCTTGCCGCAGATCATTGTCGGTAGAATAGTTCTCGGGTCAGCCTTGGCTTCTTACCTTATACCCCTACTATAGGCACCAGGCTCACATGAAGCTGCAGGGCTGGAAACGGTCTCAACACGTCAACTGCCCCGATTTGGCAAACCGAGACTGCCTCCCCTCAATGGAGAGGCAAGCTCGTGATCTTGGATATGATGATGAACATTGCAGGTTACGCCTTGGTCAACTGGATCAACTACGGATTATCCTTCCACGGCGGCGCAATTGCATGGCGCTTCCCGATTGCATTCCAGTTTATCTTCTTTTTCATACTATGGGGAACAGTGCCTTGGCTTCCAGAGTCTCCTAGGTGGTTGATGGCCCATCAACAGGAGGCAAAGGCTCTGGAAGTTCTCTCCTGCCTAGAAGCCAAGCCTGTTGACCATCCGTACATTACCACCCTGCGAAATGAGATTGAGTTTAGCGTTCGGTATGAGCGCGAGAACAGCCTCAGGTGGCGAGACCTTCTTTCACGGAAGAAGTCCCAACACGACACCAAGACTGTCCGAAGACTGTTGCTTGGAGCAGGTACACAGTTCATTCAGCAATTCGAAGGCATCAATGGCCTTGGATATTATTTTCCTACTGTGCTGATCAGTAAGCCAAGATCACCTATCTCGTCCTATGTATCCCTTCCCGTGTTCTGCCTCTCCTGTTAACCTTGTCATGCAAATTTAGATTCCGTGGGGCTATCGAACCAAATGGCAAGGCTTCTCGCCGCCTGCAGCGCGACCTCATATCTTGTGTTTTCGTTGGTCGGAGTTCCCCTTGTGGAAAAGGTCGGCAGAAGAGGCTGTATGTTGATATCAACCCTCGGTCAGTTTGTTTGTTATTTGATCATCACGGTGTTGCTATCCTACGCGGAATCAAGCGCCGACGGAACCAAATACGCATCCGCTTCGATTTCGTTCTTTTTTCTCTACTTCATTGTGTTCGGTATCGGTATGCTGGGTGTGCCGTGGCTCTACCCTACTGAGATCAATTCGCTTCAGATGCGGACCAAGGGCGCTGCCGTCGCGACAGCTACCAATTGGTGAGAACGTTTTTTGTTTTTTTTTTCTTTTTGTTTGTTTTTTGTGCCTGCGGCATCCATGAGGAAGAATAGCTCACATGGCTACAGGTTATCGAACTTTGTGATTGTCGAGATTACGCCCATTGGTATTCAAAACCTTGGCTGGCGGTTCTATATCATCTGGACGGTTCTCAACGCCGCATTCATGCCCGTGATTTATCTGTTTTATCCAGAAACCGGTCGGTTGCTCTTCATATGTGCGTTTTGGGAACTGGCAATGACTCAAGTCCATAGCAAACCGCAACCTGGAAGACATGGACGCTTATTACCGGTCCAACCCTGCGCTCATCGTCACCAAGGACCCGGATGCCATCTCAGCAAAGCGCCCTCTGAAGTATATCCAACACGAGGACGAGGAGATCCAGATAAGCAAGATCAATCGGTCGACCAAAGTGGAGGACCTAGAAGTGGAGCATGTCGAATGAGGGGCATCTCGATCATACTATCAGTGTGACAGCAATAGCAATGGCTACATTAGGAGCCCCACAACTCTTGAATGAACATATGGCTCTTGGACCCCCGGTTGAAAATTCTACCAATGTAGCTAGCTAGCTCTTCGACGCCAGAAAACAAACGAACGTCACTCATGTGGGGCTCTCGAGGTATTACCCGTAGATGTATGGATGCGTAGAAAGAATACCTCGTCGTGCAATCAGGTCTCGGTTCTTTCCATGTCTGTGGGCGTCGGTTGGATAGTGGATGGCACCGGAAAGAACCCCGGGGGTTTAATCCACCGCAGTTCTCTTCTCATCGAGGCCAGTCGGGTCACCTTCAGCGTCGGTGGAGGTAAAATGCCAGGTCAAAAGTATTGCAACATACTACAATAAATGTATATAGGTTGATACTTTGTATATCTATATATTTACTCTATATCTTAATAAAAAATATAGTATACTGTATTGTTTTTTTATTATTTTTAGAACCCGCAAATAATTATTTTTTATATATATTATTTTTAATCATATTTTGTCGTTAATGTAATATAAATCAATATATCAAGTTTTGGTGTGTTTTGGGCTTTGTTGCAATACTTTTGACCCCATATTGAAAAATTATAAATTAAATAAATAAAGTTCTATCTATATATCAAATAAGAATAAGATTAAATAATTGTGCATTGCCCGATTGCTGCATTGGGCAAAGCACCCGGTTGACGGGGATACCTTCTTCGTCGGGCGTAGTTACCCGATGCCCAACAACGCCTTGTTTCCGATATACTGCCGGTGTCGATCCAGGGATGAATCCTGGAGACTACTGGTTCGTCTCTGGGGGTTGAGAGCATGAGTGTTGTTCCTCGCCATTAAGATGACCCACCAGACACCCCGGTAGAGACAGCTTATAAGTATGGGATTTAATACTAGTCTTTGAAAGCCGAGTATTATCTTCTCTGTCGGGTTCAACAATATCACCAAGTATGTATGGAGCTCTCGCCATCGCTTTGGCAGCCTCGCTGCTCTTCATTCGCCTCATTCTATACCCGATTCTCGTATACTTCATCGACCGCAAGGGCTTACGACGATACCCTTCCATGAGCCTTCTCGCTGGAGTCACCAACATCCCCTACATGATTGCAAGCGCTCATGGTACACGCTCGAAGCGACTGGCCGAGCTGCATAAGAAGCATCCTGTTCTACGAGTTGGTCCGAATTCGCTCTCCTACGGTGACGCTCGTGCCATCAAGGTACGAAACAAGCAGACCAACCTTTGCCATCGCCCCTTCACTACCGAGCTAACCTTCCTATGACCAACAGGACATTTACGGCCACTCCACCAAGTGCATCAAAGACGATATGTACCAATTACTTTCCGGGAGCCACTTCAACCTAGCCGACGTGATCGACAAGAAGGACCATCAGCGAAAGCGAAAGGTCCTGTCCAGTGCCTACGCCTTGAAGAACCTCGAAGACTGGGAGTTCAAAGTCATCGACAAGGTGAACAAACTGTGTGGTCAGTTGGACAAGCGATGCCCAACTGCAGGACAAGAGTCCTCGCTCCAGGCGGATGTCAGTGTCATTGACTGGCGCGCTTGGTCGAACTTCTTCACGATGGATGCGATCGCAGATATCGGATTGAACGCCGTGCTGGGATGTCTAGACCACGGAGATGACATGACAGTCTCGGAGTCTTTGGACGGTACCACACGGCTCGTCAGCTACCGGGAATGCCTCCATAGTCAGATCACCGCTCAATCACAGCTGGTGTGGTCGTATGGATGGTACAAGTCGCTGGTGACATGGTCGAGGCGACTGCCGACTCGATACCGAAAGCTTTTCGCAATCGGTGACGGCTTTGATGGCATTGTAATCCATCAAGTTCGCAAGCGACTACAGCGATATCAGAAGGGTGAGAAGTTGGATGACTTCTTCCAGGCCCTGATGGAAACGAAAGATGGATCTCCCAATTATCTCCCCTTTGGAGAGATTGTAGCGGAGATCTCAATTATGCGTATGTTTCTTTGCCATGTCCTTCCTCACGATCGACCCTGAACTGACTTGGTTGATTCAGTCAACGCTGGATCGGTCTCCACCGCCGTGGCTATCAATAACATGATGTACATGCTGCTGAAGCACCCAGACGTGCTCGCCAAACTCCGCGAGGAAGTAGATGCAGTAGCCGATGATGACGAGATGTCAATCCCATACGACAAGGTGAAAGACCTCCCGTATCTGCGAGCCTGCCTGGATGAGAGTCTGAGAATCCTTCCCCCGACGCCGTTCAATCTACCTCGAAAGACCCCCTCCGAGGGATGCGAGATCTTAGGACAGTGGGTCCCAGGCAATACTACCGTGTCCATGTCATCATATGTTGCACATCGGGATGCCAATGTGTTCCCAGACCCGGAGGTCTTCCGTCCTGAGCGCTGGCTGGGGGAAGCAGGAAAACAGCTTCAGCCATACTTCATCACCTTCAGTGCTGGCGCTCGTGGCTGTATTGGTCGGAATATCAGTTATCTGGAGCAGACAACTCTCATTTCGTCTATCGTTCATCGATACGATCTAGAGTTGGCAAATCCGTCGGTGCCGCAGACTTCGTACGAGCATTTGAATATGAACCCAGGTCCACTTCCGGTGAGGTTGAGGTTACGAAGGCTGACATGATTTCTTCTTTTACTTGGTTTTCCTTGTCCACATTTGAGTAGCTTGATCGGCCCCCCTATCTTGTTTAATGATGTCATCTTGCCATACAAGGCTAGAAATAGGCCGGCGCTTCTATTCCTGGAAATATGCGATTAATCCCTAGTCTATTTCTGTTAACTGAAGTATTCGTTGTGAGCACCGCAGTCAATTTCCTCTGTAGCTGGTAGGACCGACTATTGCAAAGCGGATCACTTTTGTCAGACGTAGCTTGACGCCACCAGAGGTGTTCATGAAACTGTAGAACCGTACAGGCCTTGCAGTAACTGTCTACTCCTGTAAAATCACGCCTGTTGTCGGACCGTGTCCTCAGCACCGTCATTTCCCCGCATTGGCGTTCCCCGCTGCTCCCCGCAGTCTCCCTCCCGAACACACCGCTCCTATCCCGCATCCACATTCGATCCCTGATCTGATATTACATTTGGAATAGCACCATGGGCGCCACGCGGCTAGGCCGATATCAAGCTTGGTACGAGTCTAGACTTCTTACACAGATGAACATCATGCTAATAGTCTCAGCGACCGATGCCGCACACGACATATCCGTTGTAAGCCCCTAGTGATCCTGCATTGGGATTGTCTCGTTCGCTGATTCAGTGTCAGGTAACCGCAGATCAGGAAATGAATCCTGCACTTCCTGCATAAATGCGAAGACAAAATGTTGTCGTGAGAGGAAAACCATCTTTTACATGACGCAGTGTGCCTCGGAGGTACCCAGACGTACTTCACCTCCGAGCGAGAGCCCGGGAGTTGTGATCGGGGAAGATCATACAGAATCCGGGGCTTCCATCCAGGTGGATTCTGTGGATGACGCTGGGGTGTCAGACGATTTTCTCTTGGGTCTCGGTAGTCCAGAGAGTTCTGTCGAGCTGACTACGAATGCGTCGAGTTCGCCGGAAACGCCAAATGTATGCAATGCCGAAGTTCCACGACACTGATCTATACTAAACTTGTCTGGCACAGTCTCTCATAGCTCGAGGTAATCTTATATCTCCTGAGGGTGCAGAGAAGCTGCCTTGGCCGTTGGAGTCCCCATTCGAGGCGTCACTTCTCAAATATTTTCTCACGACCCTTTCCCCTTGGGTGTGACCTGCCATGTGCTTGCTGTCCAGTCGACTTGCTGATGATGAAATCTTCATCTAGTTTGACTACTGTGATCCATACCAGCACTTCCGCACTTATATTGGCAATAACGCCGCAACTGAGATCACGCTCCTATACGCTGCCCTGGCGGTTTCCGCTCGCCACCAAAGCACATCCCTCAACTGGCAGAGTCATGTCGCAGACGAGTACCAGAAGCGCTGCCTCCGAAGCCTCATAGCGGCACTGAATGACCAGGAGACGGCGCTGCCTGATACGATCCTGGCTTCGGCAGCGATCCTCCGCTTCTTCGAAGAGATGACCGGTACCTTCCCCGTCCCCAGCCAGGTATGGTAGCGGTGCAATGGAGACAGGATAGGTATCACTGACACCAACACAAGAAACCCCCGAGGACTCCACCCGTACTCACCATATGCTATCCGCCCAACTTCTCCTCCGCATCACCGAAGGCCATGTTTTCCGCTCGAGCTTTACCGACGCTGTATTCCTCGTCGTACTTCGATCCGAGATCTACGTAGCCAACCTCACGCAACGCCCAATAGGCAACCTAGCCGACCACTGCAACATCGACACCTCATTGGAACCCACGTCCGAACGAATGTGGGCTCTTCGAGCCATCGCTCACGTCGCAAAAGTAACCAACCTCGCCTACGGCGAGGGTGCCGTCAATCCGACCCAAAACCACCACTGGGAGTGCCTAATGCAGTACATCGAAGACTGGGAGCGTCTGTGTCCTGAATCATTCCGGCCGATATATTCGCAGAAACAGATCTCGCCCGACAATCCGTTTCCGCAGCTGTACTATGCGAATGATTACCACGTTGCCGCGCGGCAGCATATTGAACTTGCGCGGGTGCTTTTGCTGGCCTCGTGTCCGCAGAGCTGTCTCTCACGTATTCAGCAGAGGAGGAGGGGCAGGAGTAATAATGATCGGATACGAGATAGTGCTCGGATTATCTGTGGGGTGGCCATGTCAAACCCGGAGTTTACACAGGCGCTGGTGGGTGCGGGTCTTGTGATTGCGATATGTGGGGAGCTGTTTGATGATCCGGCTGAAACTACACTCCTGTTCCAGATTCTCTCAGAGGCGGAGTCGCACCTTGGGTGGCCGTGTTTGAAGGCGAAGGAGTATCTGAGGGGACTTTGGCGGGTTTAGACTGTGTCTTATTTGATATTTTTGCCCAGGGCCCATCGCCTTTGGCCAACAGGATTAATTAACATTTCTGAAACAACATAACAAGCAAAGAGCATTCAAAGCCCGATTACTTACTATCAAGGAATTACTATTTGCATGTTCAAATGCCAGTGTATAAGGCGCCAGAACACCGCCTTGATTATACAAGCATGAATTCACATTTACCACCCAATGTAGCTGTATAATAATATTCAGCTTCGCACTTGGTCGCCGTGGAATACATAGTGGGGAAGGGAGCGGCGATAAGGAAAAAAAAGATTGGAGGGTGAGGGTTTTGCCATAGAAACACGCCCCTGGTGAGTAGGATGTAGTAGCCAAGGAACAAAAATATATCTTCGCCAACTCTGTCTTTCTCAGGATAAGTGACTGTCCTGGCACTCACCCACAGCCTCAAATATAGAGAGATATAGCCAATGAAAACAGCAGTTATATTTTCCACATCATATACCGGGCGAACCATCCATTCACCCAGGAGGATTGAGGGACGGACCATGAGGTACCATGTTAGGCATGCATCTCCTCGCCAGCGTTCATATTTATCTTCTATCACTTACTTACTTTTCCTTCACTATAATTAATCTATTTTCTTCATTTAAATAGCTCAACACCAAGTGATGGGATTGATGTTGTTAGATAGGGAAAGGTGTTGTATGATTTCCTTTGCGACTTTCGCCTAGTGAAGATTGTCACATCCCCACATGATTTGGCCTACAGGGTATAGGGACCATACAGACACTATATAGAAGCATCGGACTTCTTTAGCTATATGGCACCTCTACAAGCAGCCGGAGAGCCGTTGCGTCTCAGATATTGTAGTGTTTGTGTGGAAAAGAATCACAGCCCTCAGGCACGGTCAAAGGTCCAGTGCTCCTGTCTTTACTTCCAAAACACTTTTCATCCACAACTCACGAATAACAGCCCATGAGACTGGGCCCCATGAAGAGGCAAAGAACAGAATATAAATAGTAACAACAGCGACCAAGACCTCATCTGCTATATTGGACTCAGCAAGCATACGTAACGGGATATATACATCTTGAAGAACGCTGCAAACATTAACAGGAATCTATGGTCCTATTAATCAACCACATAGGGGCCAGGAGGGCTAGACACCACATTCACGATATTTGTAATACATGTCATGATGAAGCCATGACTAGGCGAATATAGTTTGATATGAATGTTCAGTTCTTGAGCTAACTTCGTTAGAAGGGAAATATATTCGAGGTATAATATCTATGTTACTCTGCTTTAAGTAGACCAAGGAAAAACAAATTCAACTTCAAGTTTCCACTACAGCTTCGATACAGGCTGCAAGAGATGCTTCATCTCAGCGTTTGGATACTCGACGTTTTGAGACGAATCAGGTCGCTCTCGGTCCCAGGCCCATTTCTCTACCAATTCGGGCTCCAACTCGCCCTCAAGCATTTGTACGATGTATTTGCCCAGCACGGGGAAGAACTTGTAGCCATGGAACGAACCGCAACTTGCGACGTAGAGACCCTTTGAGGCGGAGTGAGGAGAAATGATGAAATCAGAGGTAGTGGTGAAAGCGTCCCTGTTGAATGTTACATTTCCCTCGCCACGTTAACTAATTGTTTGAAAGGGTACTCACCAGCAAATCCGGTGTTTCGTCATCTGCCAATCTGCGCTCTCAGGCCCATACCATAGATTCCTGGACTCGACAATGTCCTGCCTAAGTGGCCCAGGAACATTCCACTGGTTGTAATCGGATTTAGGAGGGGGTGAGGAGATATGACGGCCAGGTAGCACTTCTCGAGTGTTTGTGAAAATCTTAGAACCCCACCACTTCAGCTCTCCGTCTGCAGTAGGAGGAAGGGTACCAATGAAGGGCTTGCCTATTTACTGTTAGCAGCTTTCATGTAAAGTCTTTGAAGATCTTACCCTCATTGGGGGTGTAGCCCTGGAAGCCAACGGGCATGTCTTTGAACTTCTTGTACTGCTCCTTATTGAGCTGTGCCATTCCTGTCGTAATACCAGCGGCCAGAATTCGCTCTTCAGCTCGGAGGCCGGCATTGCCGCTCGCCGCAGCGGACCACTCCAGCAATGTTGGTGTGAAAGCGCCAGCAGCGACGATAACATGCGTGGCCGACAAAGTTTGTCCCGATTTCGTCTTGACACCGGTGCAAGAACCGCGACCATCGAATTTCAGCGTGGCAACGTCAGCAGTCACGTACTTGACGCCCAATTCAAGACACCTTTTGGTGACTGCTCGAAGAGCATCTCCAGCGGCAGCCCAACCACTGGCCCTGTTAATCAGAACCTCCTTCACACCGGTGTAGTCAGCATTGTCAAAAAGCCCGCCGTAAAGCTTTCGGGCCTCCGCGACAGGCAGGGCGATGATGTCGTCGTTGCGGCCGAGCTCCTTGTGGTTGGTGATGACGGTTTGCGCATAGCTACTGCGGCACGTCCAGTAGACGCCAGTCTGGTGGAAATATGGCTGCCAAAGGGGATCCGACTTGAAAATGTCCTGAGCTTCTAGAGCCAGTCTGCAGTAGATCTTATCATCGTAGTCGGCGCGGACAACCTTGTTCCAATCCCATGAAGCAGCCACACGAGACTCGGCGTCGTATGAATCTCGGTCCACTAGAGTTACCGATGCATTGGGATACTTCTGAATAAGATGATAGGCAGTTGAGACGCCAAAGACGCCGGCGCCAACAATGAGGTACGAGGGGTTGCGTGAGGTCATATCGAGAGCGATTCCGAGTATTCTTTGGGGGGCGATTTGAGAGTCTCGGCAGCTCTTTAAGACAGGGAGGGAATCAGGGAACTTGTATTTTCAATTGCTTGGGGCGAATTGCCTGTTTATCTATCAATTGAAGACTCCAGGCTATCCTAATTGACGACTCTGATGTTCGTGCGGGGTTCCATGCGGAGGTCTACTGCTATCACGGCGAAGATAAAGGAAATGCGGACCGCATCCGGACCGTCTACGGACCGTTGTCTGGTAGTGGCGAATTCTCTGGAGATTTGATCGAGATCGAGTTTATATGGAGTATGCTATGCCTATTTCGGGCTGACATTCCAGCGGGAACTTTTAGCAGTTTTGGGTTCCGCCTTCCATCGCTATCACTATCGATAACTACTAACCATATAGACCGCCATGCAAAAGGGTTTTGCCTTCTATCGTTCTATCTTGATATACTTGCTACCTCTGGCCACATACATTGATATAGAAGCTATAGTAGATTAAGAATCTAATTCTAAATGTAAGTTTGTTTTCTTTGTTAATATCGAAAGTGTTTGTAACTTTGTGCTATTTTTACATATCTATTTGAATCGGTCGATATATATCTGTCAGGCTGAAGTGTGATATATCCAGATATATCAACTCTCGGCGGAAGATGTCACTAGATAGGAATATATGGGTAACGAATCAGGACAGGTATCACTCTGAATCGCCATTGAATTCGGGAGAATTAAATATTATATTGGTGCTGGTTATAAAGTTAAAAATCTAAATATGCTAAGTAGGAGAGAGTGGGGATATGTATTCGGGTCGCCGCTCTGGCAGATCCTGTCCATAGGGTGACAGCAAGTCAAGATAAAGTTCCAAGAGCTGATCCAAGATTCCAAGATCGATCGATCTATCTATATAGATAGA